AACTGCGTAATCCAGGTGTGGTCTCACAAGAGCAAGATACAGTTTTAGGATGACCTCGCTAGTCTTGTAACTAACACTCCTTTGTATGAACCCAAGTACTTTATTAGCCTTGTTACGAGCAAAAACACTTTGTTTACTTGGCTTAAGGTTCCTACTTATCATTACTCCTAAATCTCTCTCGCAGTCGGATTTCTCTATGGCATCGTTGTTCATCTGGTATCTGGTTTCCCTGTTTACATCTCCTATACTGAGTACTTTACATTTGTCGACGTTGAATTTCATCTGCCATTTTTCAGACCATTCGAAAAATTTGTTTAGATCTTCCTGTAGTTTTGCCGAGTCCTCGTCAGATTTAATAACACGTCCTATTTTAGTGTCATCAGCAAATTTACTTATGTTGCTGTCTATGCCGATATCTATGTCGTTTATGTATATAATAAATAATAATGGTCCAAGTACTGAGCCTTGGGAACTCCACTTGTGACGTTGCTCCAATGGGACTTAGTGCCGTTAATGCTCACTCGCTGTTTCCTGTCCTGTAACCACGCCCTAATCCATTTAAGGATGTACCTTTGATATGACTTCTACCTTTCTAATTAGTCTTTGTAGGGGACTCTGTCAAAGGCTTTGCTAAAGTCGAGATATACCACATCATAATTGTGCCCCTCGTCCACCGATTCGAAAACTGATGAAAAGAATGTTAATAGATTAGTTAGCAAGAATCCGCTTGTGAAGCCATGCTGGGAATCATTGATCAATCTGTGCTTCTCCAGGTGGTTTCGAATAGAGTTTGAAATGATTGCTTCCAGTAATTTGCCTACTATTGATGTTAGACTGATTGGGCGGTAGTTAGAGGATAGTGATCTATCCTCCTTCTTGAAAATCGGTATTACATTCGCTATCCTCCAGGATTCTGGTACTACACCTGTTTTTAAGGACATGTTAAACAACTTTGCTAAGGGCATACTAAGCTCTTCCTTACATTCCTTTAATACTCTGGCAAATATCTCATCGGGACCAGGTGACTTATTAGGCTTTAGTTTGTCTATTTGCTTACTAACATCGTTACTAGTCACTACAATCTCACTTAATTTGTTTTCTTCACTATCTCTGAATAGAGTCGGTGCCTCGGGTATCATGTTTAAATTTTCGGTGGTGAAAACTGTTGAAAAATATTTACTCAAATTATTGCTCATTTCTCCGTCGTTATCAGTGAGCTCGCCGGAGTCTGACCGTATTGGTCCAATCTTTTCTCGTGTTTTAGTTTGATACATTTGGTAGAATCCTTTGGGGTTTGTCTTCGCCTCCCTTGTTATCCTTACCTCATTATTCCTCTTTGCTCTCCTTATCTACGGTTTTAACCCCCTGCTACGCTAATACCCTACTTAATAGTCGAGGTGAATTTATACATTTATCCTTCTACCTATAGCCTTCCTTTGGCCAATGATGTTCTTTAAATAATTATTTATCCATTTAGGGTCATTGTTGATACGATCTGAGTTTTTGTATGGTCAGATCTCATATCAGGTCGATGGCATCTGTCAGGTTCACGGCCAGCGCCAACCACCCTCTCTCTCTCAGCTGCCTCTTTAAACCTGTCAAAAGCTTCGGTTCTTCTGAAATCTGGTAATTTAGTGGAATTTTCCTTGGCGCCTGCCCTGAAAAATCTAACTGGGATTAATTTCTGTGTGATCGCTGTTTGCAAGTTCGCTCTCTACCTCGACATTGCTAATGAGGCTTTCTGTCTGACAGAACCAAATCCAGTATATTATTACCCCGCAGGGTTCGGGTTATATGTTTAATTTTGCAGTCACAGTCCTGACTCGGTGAAAATCCTGATTCTGAGTTACCCGTAAGGTCAGTCCAATCTATTTGGCCAAGGTTATCGCTTACTATACAGACTTTGTTGTATGGAAGCCCCATGAGATTTACATTCCAGATAAGTCAGCCATTGACGCCATCAAGATTGGGGGTCTATATATTACCACTTCCTGTGATTAATTTTTCCTAATCACGCTAATTCTATCCAAATTGTTTCGTATTCCTTTCTCAAGTATTATTTCCTTTATTTATTTCACACTTCAGATTATCCCTAACATAGATTGGTACCCACCTCCTTTCCTGGTCTGCCTATCGGTATGGAAACAGTTTGTAACCCGCAATTTGTATTCACTGGTAATTCAATGCGGTTCAGGTTGATCCATGTTTCAGTGAATGCAATTATATCGATTTCTTCGGTACATACCAAGGCCGTAATATCATCCATTTTGTTTCTCATACTTCTAATGTTAGCGTAGTATACATTTAAGTTAGTCGTGTTCTGAGTCCTCCCCTTACCGCGTTTAGTTTTAAACTCCCTCTGTCTAATTTAGTTTTGTCATCATTCCTAACACTATTTCCCTGTAATCTTTCGCCTTGTTTACCCGCTCCCACTGCAGTCTCCTCCACCCCCGTGCCCATATGTTCTCTTAGCAGTTTAAAGACTTCGATATCTTTTGAACTGCCCCCTCTAGAGTCCCAGCCAGGGTTGCTACTCCATCCCTAGACAGGTGCACCCCATCCCTAGCATAAAGGTCCCTTCTGCCAGTTGTCCCAGTTGTCAATGAATGGGACTGATATTGACTTGCAATATCTGTCAAGACGGCCGTTGACACCAACTGCCCTTGACAAACATTCACTGCCAACTCCCCTTCTAGGCAGGACACCGCATATGATAGGGATCCCTCCCTTAGTCCTAATACGATCTATGGCTGCCTTGAACTTATCAAGAAGTTCCTCGCTCCTACACCGGCCAATATCATTGCCTCCTGCACTGAGGCAGATAATGGGTTTGTTCCCATTACCAGACAAGATATTGTCCATCCTGTCAATTATATCCCCCACCCCAGCTCCTGGCAAACACACCCTCATCCTATTTTTGTTTTTACCACAAAAGGCCCTGTCCATGTACCTTACCTGTGAGTCACCAACAATTAAAGTTTTATACCTTCCTTGTCATCCCTGCCCCTGACTGTACTAACGTCCAATTCGTCTATCAAGGGACTGAACGGGTTGGTACACTTAGCTGTTGTTGTCGTTGTTGTCGTATCCTTCGTGTGCTTCTTCACCACCAGCTTTGTCTTCCCACTACTCACAATTTTCCACTCGCTTGATTTTTCGTCAGACACTGGCTTTACTCGTCCAGCCTCTCCTTTTAACTTCGCCAGCTCTGTCCTTAATTTCAGGTTCTCCAACGTGGCCCTCTCAATTTCTAACTTGGCCCTCGCCAATTCTTCAATAGACCACTCCAGTTTGGTCAACAAACTCTCATACCCAAGACCGCACATAGCACTGGCCATATCTGATAATTATCCCTCCGGAGCTAACCCTGCCGTGACCTTTCCCCTAGTGAGGTCAGAACACATCAAAAACCACCAGAAAAACCTAACCTAACCAGACCCGTGGCCCCAGCCACTTTATTGACAACTGACCCGTAGCCAATTTTTCACAGAAAACGTTTATAATTTTTTTTATAATGGACACTTGATATTGTGTTAAAAATTGGTTATTGCTAAATTTAATCTCACCTTAGTTGATATGAAAAACAAGCAGAAGAGTTGTTAGAAGACCTCACCAACCTAGCCTAACTTCCTAGCCAGGACCCCAGTACAGTATATTAAACAAAGAACTTACAATGATATGGAATTTTACTTTCTGGGGGACATGAAAGCAGCCACCCGTACCTAACAGTTTATAAACATACACTGAGCATCGGGCAGCAGAGTGTTTTGAAATACATCAATATGATTGGCTGTTTACATCCTAGGATTGTCACCACCGCATTACAGCCGAGATGAAGTTGTGCCCGTCTAGGCGACCGATGAAAATAGAGTAAGAAAAAAAAAGCAAAACAAATAACACCTCCGCGGGTCAGTCGTCAATATTAAGCAAGAAATTTTTTTAAGAATGTCTAAACTACATGATGCGTATATTAAAAACAATGCCAAATGTTGTGGGGCAATTGAATGCAATAATACGGAAAATTTTTACAAGCTGCCAATAATCAAACAAATTTATGTGATTTTCTCGAAAACGAGTCATTAGCAGCGGAAACGTTACTAAGTTGTTAGAAATGAGATACACCTAGTACTGGACCCCAAAATATTGTGGGACATTATGGGCAACTTGAAAAAAACTACGAATCATTTACAATAGAAAGGAAGGCAAAATTTTACTTTCACACAACCATAGAATCTTAAGAGCTCTCAATAATTTAGACAAAAATAATACCCACTTTTCTTCTATGACGTTTCCCTCGCAAATTACCTAAAAATTATCTAACCTAACCTCATCTCACCTCTTTGGACCCCCTACCCCCGGGTATATACAAGTCATTTGCGTGGGAAATGTCATAGACGAAAAGTGTCTTAGAATTGTCTAGACTACTGATTGCAAAGATGAAATTCTTAAGATTCTATAGTTGTGTGAATGTAAAACAATGCCGAAATAAGTCAGAATCGTTCAAAACACATCGACAAAACCTAAGTTTCATGTCAAAAACCATTATGGGCAACTTGTAAAAATTTACCCAAATTTTTCGTGTTCCTGCAATAATTTTATTTTTCTGTTTAAGTGAAAGACCAACTGACTATAGCTTAATAGTCAAGAAAATTATCCGATATAAATTAAAAATCTATTAAATCACTGAACATAGGAATTAAAAGCTCTCTATTAAATACTAACAAAAGGGACAGTACTGTAGTGAACCTTTGTGTGACACGAGACCTTGAAGGCTCTAGAACACCACGTGATCAACAGGTAACCCAAGGCGAATAAAAGACACATAACTGCTGAAAGACACATAACCACTGGAGAATATCAAACACTTCTTCTAACACATAATTAAAAATAATATACCACAGCCATTTAAAACATACTGCCGTACCCACTGAAAAAGAACCTAGTATATATATATATATATCAAAATAAGGTTTTAGCACGTAACTATCATAAATACTCACGAAAAATATGAAGTTGAAGAGAAACACCATGTATTTGACTGTAAGAGGGCCACAACCAAGATTATGATTCGCCATTTTCGTAAATTTGTTCTTAAACTCTGTATGAACACTGTAGTTACTCCTCTCCTCGGTCAGCACTGCGTCACTCGGTCACTCTCCCTCAGTCGCAAACTTTTCACCACTCTCGTACACTCTGCCTTAATTAACCAAATATAATATAGTTTAAGAATTTATTATTTTTTTACAAGTTATACATTCTTATTTTGTAATAGTTTCTTCTATGCATATAAATCAATCGAACATATTGTCTATTTTTAAGGATAGTGCAAAACTTCGTACGTCTGTGTTGATGATTCAGACAGTCATGATCACATGATTCAGAAGGTTGCCACAGTATGATGACATTTCCCTTATGGCTGCCAGTAATAGGAAAATATTATACACATCCCCTTATTGTCATTTAACGCTTATTTATATTAATATAGTTGGTAATGCTACTATCAGTAAAGCTGTTTATAAATATTTTCGGACAATTATTGACACTGACACTACAAGTTTGCTGACTATTTTTACACTTAAAAAAAAGTGTAAAAGTAGTCAGTAAACATATGGTTTCATAAAATATTGATTTAATGCCAACATTTTGGGTTCCTATTTATTCATCATGAATGGCGGAGCTGATCCAAAATCTTAGTTCTTTTATATTCCCTGAATGACGATTAAGGAGATGCGATCGATGAAAGCATTCGTGGTGACCCCTCTCTTTTCTACCTACACCAACCAGCCAGCAACACCTCCTCCTCCTCCTCCTGCCTGGCGGCCCTCGCTCCCGCCGGCGAGCATGGCGACCCACAAGCTGTCCTCCTCTGAGCACCCTCACCAACCAGCTCTCTCTACATCACACTTGTAACCATGCTGCCTTCCCAGCACCAAGCTGCATTGTACATCCAATACAACATGTATACAGAGAGCACATTGTGAGTTTCCTTTCTCCATCCCATCCTGAGTGTGAACCAAACAACCTGTTCCCCACACATGATATATGTTTTACCTGCTGTCGGTGAAAAAATAGAGACTACACAACAACACTAAAGAATCCAAAAGAAAAATAATTCGCCATACAGGGAGAAATTACACCTGGTCAGTTTCAGCCCAGGTCAGGTCACATCTTGACCTCTCACTAACTTCCTTCACTCTCCATGTTCAACTCCAACAGTCAGTCTAATTTTCCTCTCAACCAATAATCAGTTTTGTATACATTATTTAAGCCAGTTGTTGTAAATTGAACTGGGAGTAGATTTTTTGTTTCGAATTAAACAATGTTTAAATGTTAATGGCTGGTGTATTTACAAGTGCTTTTATCCTCTTCACCACTGATCGGCTCCCTAGCCGCCCGGGCGATCGGTCACGTCTCTGTTATGCACTGTTGGCAAGTACTGGGCATGCACCGGCTTCTGAATGTACCTGAACCAGCTCCAGTGTTGGTCAAGTCTTGTCTTGAAAGTGCTCACACTCGGTGCCGTCACAACACTCTCTGGTAGATTGTTCCAAGAGTTTACAACCCTCACTCTGTCCCTGGGTATTGTATAATTTGGGTTACGTCGTCTGCATATGCAATGTACTCCGAGTTTCTTGGTTTGGGCATGTCAGCTGTATATATGGTGCATAGTGTTGGTGATATGTTGCTGCCATGGGATACTCTACTGTAGAGGGTGAAGTTTTGACCTATGTAGTTGTCGATGGTGAGTTTGCATTGTCTGTTGTCAAGGAAATTGCAGAGAGCCGTGATGTTGGGTGGTATGGTGAGTTGAATGATCTTGTATTTGAGCCCTTCATGCCATACTTTGTCGAAGGCTTTGCTGACATCTCTAAGTACTATGTTACATTGGTTTCTGTTGCTGGCTGCATTTGCGATGGATTCGTATATTAAGGCTATTGCAGTGTTGGTGCCTCGGTTTTTCCTGAAGCCGTGTTGTCTATTGTTGTATTTATCTTCATACTCTAGGTGGTTTCTTAGTCTCTGGTATACTGCCAGATTCTGGGGTCACTAAGTCTAAGGGGATAACTTAACTCTATTCTTAATTTCTAAGGTGTCGCTGCCACCAGACCCCCCTGGGCAGTAGCTCGTTAGGTAGCGGGCAGAGTGGACTTGGCATTGGGTTAGGTTTTTCATTGACCAGATCGATAAGGGAAAAGAAGGGTGAAACCATAGCATGTCTTATCTGATGTATTCCTTATAAAACATACTGCATTCCGGTAAAATACAAATGAGTTGGCCTTCCTCAGAAGAGCAACGATGATTTTGGTTACCCTTCTTACAATAACACTCCACACGACAGACTGCTCCACCTGTATGGAATATAGCACCTTAGGTCATCATACATAGTAACACCATCTCACCTCCCTGTAGCACCAGCTCACCACACCTGTTATACTCCACACCTGCAAATATGGGACTCCTTGTAATTTCTAGGTAAACATATCAGGCACCTCGTTCGCACACCGCCCTCGGTGGGTAGAGACTAGGGTTTCACCAAGAGACATACCAGTACTGTTTCTACGCCTGGCATTATAGGTCGCTCCAAGTGAGGACTGCGGAGTTTCTCAGCATTTCCTTATTTATTCCTACTCATTTGGGGTGGTATGCTGGGAATCCACAGGTTCACAGTGGAATAGCATAGCGGGTAGTCATCATCTCACATGGTGGGACGGTCACAGGGATAATGGACGACGCCCAGCAAGGTACTCCGACTGCGTGGGACCTGAGTTGATGGGAGAACCAAGGACACTGAGAAATAATGCCTGATGGGCGGTTATTACCCCCTGTAACACATTACTACTTCACTTTATACATCAGGCATGGTAGTAAGTCAGTTAGGACAGGCATTGGGAACCTGTCTGGTTGACTCGTCGAAAATCTATGACTGGTCTCCATCCTCCATCTTTCTTGAGAACTAAAAATAAAGGTGAGTTCCATGGTGACGAGGAAGGTTGGATCACCTTTTGGTCCACCATGTCTTGTACTATTTGCTGGACTACCACTCTTCTGCTGTGGGGTAGCCTATATGCTGGGATGTAGATTGGGTTAGCTTCCGGTTTGAGTGGAATATGATGATTTGTCAACATTGTTTTACCTAGGGGTTCTCCAGGTAATGCTATAATTTTGTAGGGTTACGTGGTATAATGTTGTCTAGCACTCAGGATGGATGGAAACTCTAATGTGGTTTTCTTGTATAATATAAGTTATATGATAGACAGTCTGGTGCTGGAGGTGCCGTGTGGTGAGGAGCTGCTCAATAGAGACGTTCGGTGAGTAGCGTGTTGAAGGAGGTAGATGTGCAGGAGCTTCATTAGAGAAGATGTTGCCTGTTGCTGGCCTCCTGGTTGAATGAATGCTGACGGCGTGGAGCTTGCTGGAGGTGTTGCTTGTTCAAGAAGAGAGACCAGAATGAGAGCTGGTTGGTGAGGAAGCTCAGAGAAGGAAAGCTGGTGGGTCGCCATGCTCGCTGGCGGGAGCGAAGACCGCCAGGCAGGCGGAGGAGAGGCGAGAGCCGCCAGGCAGCGGAGGAGGAGGTGTTGCGTGTTGTAGAAGAGAGGCTAGAATGAATCTCAATGGAGAGACAGAGCTTATATACCCAGCAGCCGTGAGTCCTCTATGATTCATGTTGGGAAAACCCGAGAAGTAACAGGTCTTTTGCTCGGTTGCTAGGATACGGCGGCGCATCTGGTGACGCCGCTCGTTTGGTTGCTAAGGAAGGCGTCGCAGGTGGGATGCAGCTACGCAGTTGTAGGGGAGAAGTCCACTACAATACTCCCCCTTCCCTCCAGGCGGTGTAGGAGACTTGTTGTCTGTAGAGTTGCTTAGCACATGTGAGGCAGACCGGGCGGTGCATGCCTCATGTGAGACAACGGCGATGGCGTGAATGAGCCGATCGCTGAAATACAACTGTCTAGATACACACTATCTGTGGGAGAAGGGAGAAAAAGGGTGTGTGGAGGCGATGAATGTTGTGCTTCCCTCACGACAGGTACAGGGTCGTCAGATGCGCCTGCTGGGGTGTGTGGGCCTGGGTCAGGAGCAGGGGCTGCGTCAGCAGAAGCGGATTAGGGCTCGTGACAGCAGCTGGGTCCACGACAGCAGCAGGGTGCAGGACATTAGCAGGGAGTACCTGAGGGAGAAAAGAGGGGTGTGTGGGTCCGCACTCAGGAACAGAGGCCGCGTCAGGGGTGGCAGGGGTTACTGCTGGGCCGGGGTCGGCGTCTGAGGCAGGACGGGTGTGCTGGGGTCGTCAGGATGTGGTGCTTGGGGCAGGAAGAGGAGCTGGTGTCTGCTTAGAGTAACAGAGCTGCTTCTGTGTGGATAAGCCATTCTTCTATGCTGCTTGAAGACTGGGAGCGTGATCAGTGTCTCCTCCATCCTGTGTGAGTGCTAATCTCCGGGAGTCACCATTTGTAGGAGTTCGTGGTATAATGTTGTCTAGCACTCAGGATGGATGGAAACTCTAAGGTGGTTTTCTTGTATAATATAAGTTATATGATAGACAGTCTGGTGCTGGAGGTGCCGTGTGGTGAGGAGCTGCTCAGTAGAGACGTTCGGTGAGTAGCGTGTTGAAGGAGGTAGATGTGCAGGAGCTTCGTTAGAGAAGATGTTGCCTGTTGCTGGCCTCCTGGTTGAATGAATGCTGACAGCGTGGAGCTTGCTGGAGGAGGTGTTGCTTGTTCAAGAAGAGAGACCAGAATGAGAAAGCTGGTTGGTGAGGAAGCTCAGAGAAGGACAGCTGGTGGGTCGCCATGCTCGCTGGCGGGAGCGAGGACCGCCAGGCAGGCGGAGGAGAGGCGAGGGCCGCCAGGCAGCAGCGGAGGAGGAGGTGTTGCGTGTTGTAGAAGTGAGGCGAGAATGAATCTCAATGGAGAGACAGAGCTTATATACCCAGCAGCCGTGAGTCCTCTATGAGTCATGTTGGGAAAACCCGAGAAGTAACCGGTCTTTGGCTCGGTTGCTAGGATACGGCGGCGCATCTGGTGACGCCGCTCGTTTGGTTGCTAAGGAAGGCGTCGCAGGTGGGATGCAGCTACGCAGTTTGTAGGGGAGACGTCCACTACAATTTCCTTGAATTCGGCGAGTAATTCTAAAAGATCACTTTTGCCTCGAGGATGATCGACTACT